TATATACATACACACACACAAATGCACTCACTCAAGAGGACACAAGCACAAGACTCACAAACTCATACACAAGCACTCACACACATGCAAATACACATTCACACACAAACTCACACTTTCAGAAACCCACGCACACAGACTCCCACACTCTCACGCGCCACATCCACACACTCGCACTCATCTACGAGTTTCCATGGCAATGGGTGGAGTCACAAGGTGGCTTTGCATAACCGGCAAGGTGGGCTTTTCCCCGTGTACCACCCTGTACTACGGTGAAGGTTAATGACAGCAACTCCTCTGTTCCCAAGAAGGCATTAGGTGCTGTCGGTTCCCCCTCAACTCCCGCGATTCCACGAGATGAAAATAAAAGAAACTAAATTTTAAGCACAGAGTTTTAAAACTGGAGAAAATATTCCAACGAAGGAGACTGCCACTGGGGGCAGAATCTGTCCGGAGACCACACCACACTGTCACAGAGCGCTCACCAGATTCCCTTCCTGGGACTGGAAGTCATTTGATTAACAAATCGCACAGGTACAACTAGAAAACCAAGATCCCTGCTATAAAATGTAAGTGGAAAAGAAATAAGGTACCAGGGTGCTGCAAAAGAAAGCTAGTGAGACCCCCAGGGAGTGCTGGGACTCCATTCCGCTATATACATTTTTTATTCCCCTTAGAAAATAATAAATAGATAAATAAAATAATAAATTAGAAAATAATCAATGGCCTTTCTAGGCTGTGAATCTGCGACAATACACCTGTCTCGTACCACTGGTTCTGTCTTCATAAATCGATAGCCCTAGGGTTCTGCCTGTTTTGTAAGTGCTGTTTTCACAGAATTTTTTAACTCTGCTTCACTGAGCAGCTGAGTATTTTTTCCCATTTTACCTTTAAAACAAAAAACTTTCGCTATTAAAAACGATATAACAGAGAAATTGTCATTTCGAAATTACAGTGTGAGAACAGTGGTCATTTCTCTTTACATATTTTTAAATATCTAAAGGACAGTGCTGGGCTAATTTAAGTCTAACCCAGCTGGGAGCCTGCATTGTTCCTTAAAGAAGATACAAGTATAGAGACAATGAGTAAATGTGAACAGCGTTTTGATCCAGATTCTGGATGCAGACAAGATGGTGATGGCCTCAGGAGGCCTTTTATTTCCTTCCCTGTGGTCCAGTTCCAGCTCTGAGAACTGAAAGCAGCTTGACATCTGCTTAGTTAGTTGATGAGCTCCATTTCTGGGCAGAAATCATTAAGGGTGTGAATTCAGTACCTACACAATTTTGCAATGAGTATTTGAACCTTATAACCACTTGTGTGTTTTGAGATGTGATTCTTTTCCCCAATAAGCAATGTCTCTGTGGTGTTGAGGCTAATTTCAGTCTGTCTACTCAAATGAATTTTGATTTCAGTTGCACAAAGTATTCATCTCAACTTGCGTCTAACATCACTTTCTACCATGTAAGTGGAGTGGCCGTATATAACTCCTATCCTCACCCTTATCCCCACCCCAGCTAGAGAAAGGGGCTCTTGCTTTTCTCTGAAATTTGGCTGGTGATCATTGTGGGTACTAACTATGGAAATGCACTTCAAGGACTATTTATTGATCACCCCTTTAAGTCCTCAGCAGTATGTTTAGGTGATTCAGAAGATAAAGAGAAAAGACATTGCCTGTGCTCCTGATGTACTGAGTCTATTAGGAATACAATTTAATGTTTAGGCGCTTCTTGTCACTAGACTGTCTGCTTCTCAAACACAGGGCCTGTGTCCCTTGTCCCCGCAGAACCCAGTACCAGAGTTTATATGCAGCAGACACACAAATTATTCATAAAAATCTAAATTAGTTTAATATTTGTTCTTTGGGTTGTTAAAGAGGGCACCAACATTTGCAAATGTTAGATCATTCTACAAGACTTTGGGAGATGGAAACAACCAGAAATTCCTGGCCAATCTAGAGACGCTATTTTCAGTGAGTGTCTGATGGGCATTTGCGGGCCTTTAGCCTCCTTCATTCATAGGGAAACCGCACGGCTGGAATGGTGCCACGTTGAAACACAAAGGTCCAGGAGGCTATGTAAATGAGGATGCTTTTCCTCCAGCTGATCAAACAAGTTGGCAAAAGAGACTAGGTTCCAAGCCAGTGGGAACTAGCTCTTCTGTGAATTCATTGTTTCTGCTTCTTGTGTTTTCATAGATTCCTTCCCGAGAGGTTCATTTTAAGTTGCTTTTTGATGGCATCAAAGCATTTCTTACCGACAAAAAATGAAAATATCTTTTGCCTTTTTCCACACAAGTTAAGAGAAAAAATGCAATGAAAAAATTGCCCTATCTGGAAACCCTAATTACTATTGTAGAGGGAGACGCTATTCAAATAATTCTAAAATTAAAAAAGAAGGAAATAAGGAAGGGAGGGAGGGAAGGAGGGAGGGAGGAAGGAAAGGAGAAGAAATTTCATCTGAGTTGTCCAAAGCCATTAAGGTCGGGGTGGGGTGAGGGGCTGGAGGGAGAGGTGATTCTACAAGTATAGAATCTAATCTACAGCTTTTTCAAAATCTCTAATTCATGTCTTATTTTTCAGACACAGAAGGTAGGTTTTCTTTTTTTTTCCCTTCCTCAAACTTTGTTTCATTAGTAGAATTTGAATGTGCTGTGTGAATTTCTGCAATGCCTTTCACTATGGTGACTATATTTCAGAAAAGTCTCCACACCAGGTCCTTGGAGAAGAACTGTGTCAGGCAAAGCCAAGGTATTACCAAAATCCTTTTCTTGGCCTGACGGCATTTGGGGAATTGTCCTTTTGATGGCTTGTAGATGTGGAAACTAGTACATTTAAAAATACAGGCACAGAAAGAATCCCAGACTGTTTCTAAAGGGTATAATGTTACCATCTCCTGCACATATCCACTTCTGTACAGTCTCTTGATACTTAATTAGTAAAGTCAGGTTTTCCCTCCACTACCTAAAACCTAGAAAGATTATCCTTTTCTCATTCCCAGTCTTTCTTTTTCTCAAAGGGAGCACCTCATTTACAAAATATGAAATACAAAAGACTAGACTGGATGACTTAGAGCGACTAAAATCCTCTCATTTATCTGATGTCTTTAGGAGGTATGATGTTTCACCTCACGTCATGTTCTGGCGGGGACGGTGGTGGCTCAGTGGTAGACTTCTCACTTTCCATGCGGGACTCCCAGGTTCGATTGCCGGACGGTACACCTCAAGCGCAGCCACCACTGGTCTGTCAGTAGAGGCTTGCGTGTTGCTAATGATGCCGAACAGGTTTCAGCAGAGCTTCCAGACATAAGATGGACTAGGAAGAAAGGCCTGGCAGCGTTTCCTTCTGTTTGACGGCAGCTAACAACAACCAACTGACGCCTTTGAATTGTGGTGTTGGCGAAGAATGGTGACTATACCATGGACTGCTAGAAGAACTAACAAATCTGTCTTGGAAGGAGTACAGCCACAATGCTCCTTAGAAGCAAGGATGGCGAGACTATGTCTTACATACTTTGGACATGTTATCAGGAAGAATCAGACCCTGGAGAAGGACATGATGCTTGGCAAAGTAGAGGGTCAGCAAAAAAGAGGCAGACCTTCAACGAGATGGATTGACATGGTGGCTACCATAATGGGCTCAAGCATAACAACGATTGTGAGGATGGCACAGGACAGGGCAGCGTT